TCTCGAAAAAAGTCTATAAACAGGTTAAGTAAATTAAAGATACAAACTTCGCTAATGTACATCCACAAATAATAAAAATTGTGGACCAGCAGTGCATTAAGGGATAAAATGTTTTCGACTAGTAAGGATAGTAAGGATAGTAAAAAAAGCCGTTCTCTGGTGTTCAGCTCAAGCGTAATCACTCCTATTCGGATTTAATAGGCGAAATCAAGTATAGTGTACACATGATAAGATTAGGTAAGTTAATAGTTGAGGCTTTATATCTAAGAATTTGGGATAAACGTCCGTGTCCTGATGTATCTCTGGGATGGAAATGATATTCAACATGGTGATTTCCGATTTCAACCTTAGGAGCGTCACCAGTTCGGAAGGGACGCTGCTGTGAAAATTCAGTAAATTTTGCTTGTCGTAATTTTCTGTTCACGTCGCGTGGAGGGGTTCTGACTATTTATGGAATGGAATGGGATATGTGCTCTTCCAATTTGCTACATCTCGAAATGATATAAAGATGTAGTTCTTACATCAAGTGGACGTTGAAATTAATACCATGATTTCAATGCCATCAATCAAATGAAGACTATATATGTTTGACTAGATCAAATCTTGCTATTGGCTTGAATCATCCTTTGCCTTTGGTTCGCCTGGATATTTTTTTTCACAGACTTTCAAACTGAGGCAATTTATTGACAGCGCAAGGGAATATGTCACCTGTTTCCGGTGGATGAGACTCTGGAGGGGACAGGAATGACCAAAGGGTCCTTGCTCTCTGACCAACCCGTCCTGTCGGTGGGCAATGCTCTTCTTTGATGTAACCTTCTCCAGCCGCTGTATTGTCCAGTCTGTTTATCTTTGATGGCATCGGTGATCAGCCCTAAAAATCCCTCAAAATAATGTCTCTTTAAACACCCATTCACCGCCAAAGAATGTCCACTTCGATGTTTGCTTCCTACGTTTTTTCCCCGGCTTGACCCAAGGTCCTTTCCTCCGATCGTCAGCCTTTACTCCTTTTTTTGAGGGGGGTCTGTAAGTCCGCCATTATGCAATGAGTGAGAGACCGCACCGCCGGTTCAACACCCTCCTTTCCCGCCTACATGTCAGGTGTAACGACGAGGGTGGAAGCAATTAGCACCGGACCCTTCAGCTCCTTTTATGCGCCCAAATGACCCATTGTTGGGCTGCTTTCACGGCTGTCGCGGTAGCCATCAAAAGAAGGGGGTGTGTTGCAGATGACTAATGATGACCCGGGATGAAAGCGCGGACAATGAGCAGGGAAGCCTGCCAAGTACCGGTCCCGTCGCCTCAGAGCGCCCGGAAGGGCTCTTGAAGAGAAGGGGAGAGGTTGTCTGAAGCCCCCCTAATGATGACCACAAGCCTGAGGTGGGGGACAAGAGGATTCGGGCATCCTTTCTTGTCATCTTTACGGGAGAGACAAGATGTTCTCCCTGAACGATTCATCCAAGAGGAATTCCCGATGGATTTAATTGGCCGAGCTTACATGCAGCACGTACGGGTGGCAAACCGACGCGCACGGCTGGGGGAATTAATATTGAAGAGAAAAAAAAGCGAAACAAAAAAACGAGAAGACAGGGTTTACCGAATCTGTTAAGCCACTGTTAGGGTTAAGGATTAAGATTAGCCGCGTTTAAAAGGGATCAACACAACTAGGATTTCAAAACAAATTGTTGTCCGCGTGGAGCAAAGACCGGTGTCATTTCTTGAATTGGCGTCCCACCCTGTGACAGAACGAGATGGACGCTAAAATGATGGAACTGGTGTCAGATGAGGAAGACACTTTGAAAAACAATTATAACTAGTAACAAGATGAGAAAGGTAACAGAACCGATAAGGGTAATCGGTTACAACTAGACCTGACAGGCCTGGAAGAGGGAATTCTTAAATTCCAGCGGGACCGTACAGGCTACGTTCAGAATTAAATCCACTACTTTAATCTAAAGGTTTAACATCTGTCTTGATTGCGTCAACGTTCCTGGTTGCAAATCTGATCTAAAATGAATACAATATACTGGAAAAACAGACAAATACTGAAAGAACACAAGAAAGAGAAATTGGTGATTTTTTTCAGTTAAAAAGACGCCTTCCGTGCAGTGTACAGAAGATAAAATCATGCTGGGAGTCTACAGTCCATTTAAATCAATTTGCGGGGAGGAATGAAAGTTTAATCAAATTAAAGATGGTTTCCAGTGAACAAATTGTGTCCTGGCACACAACGAAACACAACAAAAATGATCATCCAATCCTCCCCCCCCCATATTAATTAAGCATATACATGTAAATTAATTAAAGTTACAGTTTACTAATATCTTGCTTAGAGCGCAGTTCTATGCATGGGAAAAACACTAACCATCATCCAGTTTCAGTAACCTAAAATACAAATAATTGGGTTTGGATAACCTGTCAAACTACCGGTACTGTTTACACGCATTCACGTTGGGCAACTAATTTGCTTCCGATGATTAATCTGAGGGAGATTGTCTTCCTTAGTGTTTCCGGGTTTTACAAGGGGTAACGAGGACGAGGGAATTGAACCCCAATTTATTTTTCGAAAAGAATGACCCAGCTAGGTTGTTTACTCATGTCTTAACATGCTGTCTCCTATTCATCAGGTGCATCGTTAAAAAAGAAAACTTATACATGACCAGCTCGAGGGATCGCAAGGAACGGAGCGCAGGGGAGAGTTCTAATTGTGTGAAATTGCAAAACATGGTCCCGTTGGGAGACGCTTGGAATTCGCTTCCCTCCGCCGGGATAAATGTCAAACTCCTCACAGTCGTGACCTGATTCTGCCGTCCGGGATCCGGTCTTGTGCGGAGACTGGCCCCGGGACGGGCCTGCTCTCCTTGCCTCCACCAATGCGCATGCCATGACGTGCAGATGCGCTGCTGGCGCCCACCAAGCCACTGGGCGAGAACAGGTGCGCGTGCGCATGCCCAACGGGCAAAACGTAAGGAGTATCCCCAGCATGGTGTTCAACCTCATCACACAAAAACCTGGACCGGTGTGTATTTCAAGATGGAGTCGATTCTCTGATGAAACCCCAGACAGACTGTCCCCCTAGCAACCGCAAAGTACCAAAAGGGGAACTTTGGTTTGTCTGCACGGACAATTGGTCATAAAAACAATGTGTTTTAAATTTCCATTTTTTCTAGAATGATTTTCAATAGACAACTTTTGAACAACAAACTCAGAGGGAAAAAAAGGTATAGTGCGAAAGGACAGAAGCCTAAGCCTTAATCTAATCTGCTTTAATTACGTCAATGTTTTTAGCCGCTCCGAGATAACAGAAAAACCTGACAAACAAACCATTTTTTCCTTCTTCGCTTGATGACATTCCTGAGGTAAAAAAAGGTCAGATCTGCCACTCATCCAAACAAACTGAATGTTCCCACTTCTCACAGCTTATAAATACAACAGCTTGAAACCAATCTTGTTAATTCACTGGCTGATAACTGTCTTGTGCGATTTTTTTTTGTTTCAATGAAATCAATTTAAAACAAGAGCGTAGGTTCACTGAAGGAGGGCGACGATCGTGGGGCACACGTAGCTTTGTCCTTCGTGGTCTGAGTGACGGGGCTTCCACATTAATTTACTTTATCGTTCAATCGCGTTATGAAAGACACATGAGCGAGTCGTCTCGGTGACTTAATTAAAAGTAGTCTCATTTTTATGCAAAGTGCCTTAAGATCTTTGGACATGGGGGGGTTGCAAAGTTAAGGACGACGAGACGGAAAGATAGAATCGAAGGGGAGATGGTTATCTGAGAAGTGTCTTGGGAGACCATCCGGCGCCGAGCGGGCACCGCCGAGCATCGATCGACAGGCATGCCCGCCTGACCTCGGTCAAGAAATGATAAGACACGCAGTCTGAGATGGGGGGGGGCACTTGGCTCAAGGTAAGTTCAAGCTATGGTGTAAGTTTTTAATTGAATCCGGGGCCGGGGGTAAGACCAAGCCGGGGGGTTACGTCGGGGATGGAAATGAGTTCCCAATACCTCCGGCGTTCTTCTCTCCAAATGTTATGAATGCTAACGCTGTGTTTTGATCAAGGACATACTAAAGAGGAAATATGCCCTGACATAATTTTTTTTAATAGCATGCATCGTTTTGCACTTCATTACATGATGTACTTGAATAAGTCAAGATGAAACTAAGTTAAGGTTTCTAGTCTTCATGGTCTTTCCATTACGAATACAAACAACTCAATCTTCAGTTATCGAAAAATCAATTTTTGCTATAAAAAAACAGTTATTACTAGTTCTGCTATAGTTGTAAGTTGTTCCGGAAAAAAGTATTAAAGGTAACCCATGAGTAAACGTCACGTACATGTACAGCTCATGTACGTGACTTTAAGTACCTGTGTCTGTAGGGCGCTAAGTCTAAGTTATAAACCATATTACTCAAAATACAGCTTCGATAAAAATGTCGGGAAAGGCAACCAACTAGTCCGATTTCTCAACGATCAACGACACTACACTGCCGATATTTTCCAATAACATATTATGTTTCAAACGACCACCATCGGATTATGCATGTACACACTGCGACGGCTTTAAGACAGGCGATGGTTATGTGCGGATATATTGCCGTCAATGTCGGGGGCTTTAGGTCGATCTGTTTGACCCTGCGAATTACACGCTAGAGGTTTGGAAGTCACTGTTACCATGACAAATAGAATAACGGCAATGCAACCAGGTGAGCGGCATCTGGGCTGCGGGATTATTAATCTCGTCTACAGTCTTACCAGCCGAATCCTTTTCTCCCTCCGTCTCTTTAATCTGGATAAAATGAAACTACAGCTCTCACTCAGCTCTGTCAGTGTGTCTACAGACTAGAAACTACGTAACATTAAACTGATTGAAGGCACAGCATACATTTAATAATGGTTGAGTGCAATACAATGCTCGCGACTATTGTGCTCTTGATCTACAGGCCTGGCAGGTGATCAATTAGTTAATTGATTGGTTTATTGATTGCGAGACTCACCTGACATGCCCGACGGTATCAGGCTGGACTGAGTGGGCTGGTCCGTGGTGTTCTTCTGGCGCATCTCCGACTGGATGCACAGGCCGTTGTCCTCGGGGAACAGGTCGCATTCCAGCATGGCCGGCCAGGGGAAGCAGTTCCGGACCATGATGGGCTCGCAGTTCTGCCGGACCTTCTGGCAAAGGGAGCGGCAGGGGTAGATCGGGCGGTCCAGGCAGACGGGCGAGAACAAGGAGCAAAGGAAGAGCTGGGTGTCGTTGTCACAGTTGACGATCAGCAGCGGGATCCAGCCCTGCGACTGGTCCTTCACTTCGAAGATGGAGTCGTGGTCCAGGAGGTTGGGCATCCGCATCCGGTTGTAGCCGATGTTCTGGCACAGGGTGAGATCGGAGGGTATGTCCACACAGGTCGGCTTGGTGATCCGACCCGAGAGATCCATGGCATAGCCGGCCGTCATGCGGGCCAGACACGCTGCAAACACGACCGTCACGAACCCCAGCATTGTACTATATATCAGCCGCTCCCCTCTCGAATAAAAGTGACAGACTGAAGTACGCAGTCTCCTTCAAGTCAGCTGCGCACCAAATGGTCCTCTCTTTACAACAACACTGCCAAAAATATCCCCCCAAAACAAACAGGCCCGGGTAGAATCTATTTGCTCACGGTGGCTCAATTGGTGTGGCTCTGTTCGCTCCTGGCGTGAAACTCCACAAGGCCAAACACACGCGAAGAATGGCCTTTAGTCAACAAAATGATTCACTTGTCTGAAAGAAAGTCGATTTGGTTGGGCAGACGACCAACTTACTAAGTCTAAGAATTCAGCCAGGACGATCTTGTGTGGCATGCGGCGGCGATGAAGTGAGCGCTACGTGGTGCAAGCTGCAGTGCCTTTCACCCACTCACTGTGCGGTCTGTTGTTCGGTACTTCGCCGTGTAGTTGAAGTAGAAGTCACTGGTATATTGTACGCTGCTGTGCAGCTCAGCACAATGACTAACACGTACTGACGTGCATATACAGCGCTCCCCTGCCACACACTTACTAGTTACCCCACAGAATTGCCCAATTTATTGCCAGACAGGCGTTCCTTGTTTTTCTTTTGCCGGCTGCTCAATAAAAACCGCGGGAGGGCGCATTGCAGAACATTGCCGGACAAAACGCTGATCTTGAGACACTTCGCTAATGATGTATTATTTATGTCAACCAGATTACAGTCGAGTTTACCATTCACTACGGTGAAGGGAAGAAATCTTAATGATCGCGTACTCAACTTTGAAGCCAAATCTTTGGAAGTTCGTGTCATCTTTAGAAGTTCGTGTCACACCGCTTGCCTATCAGGCCTTTTTGATTTGATAAAAACCAAGCCAACCAGGTGACAAATTGCACCTTACGAAACAATAGGTCCACAGAAAACCCCCTCGGTTGAGTGGTACAGTCTGAAATAAGAAATGCTTTTTTTTTTTTTGCTTAATGCGCATGCCAATCAATACATGTAGTATGGTTTCCGCCCCCTGGTTTTGTGATTTTGAGCCGAACCAGACTCAGGACATGCATGATGGATGAGGTCCATGTTCTGCACGTTTGCCAGATTGATTGTTGCATCTGTAGGTGACGTTCACCCCTGGAATCAAGTGTTGTTCTCACCTTGGAATAGCCCTTGCGCTTGTGACGAGCTGATGTGCTGTTGTCTTGATTGATTGTCGGACCATCACTGATTTCTGGTCGCTGCCGGAAATTGAACGCAAGGCGAAGTGTAACAAGGTGTGCTTGGCTGTTGTGGGGGAATGTGAATGACATATGACTACACAAAAGAAAAAATCAAAGATCGAATTAAGAGAAAGAAGAGTAAAAGACTACTTATTACGACCATGCAGCTGACCTGAGTGGAGAAAAGAACTCTTTCTTTTTGGACATCAAGTATTTGAGAAAAAAGACCTTCCCGTACACAGCAGATTTATCTGCTTTTGAGGGGATGTGGATCCTAGACAACCGGACGCGTGTATTCAGGTTTCAAACTAATGCAACCTGGATTTAGGTAACATTCGTAACGTGTCGAATCTTACGCCGAAATTTGGGAAACCATGAGACAAGATCTTGCGTACGCAAATTGACTTTGAAAGAGTGCCAGAGGAAACGAAATTTCAAAACACACATAGCCTAAATATCTTAGGGTTATTTTGACGCTTTCTATGAACGAGACACATTTATCACCTCTTTGCATGATGAATTGAGACGTAGCTTGAATAACATTTGCCACTCCCAGATGTGGCGAGAACTTTTGAAACAGACAAAAACGGGGAGAAAATATTGCCGTGATGAATTGAATAAAGCATTGCGAATGACAGACTAAGGCCGCAGACACTTCTGAGAGAGCCCAATCTTGGAAACCTTAGACCAAATTGATTGATCCCCGTGCTCGTTCAAGTTACACCGATTCCGGAACTGAGATCTCAGAAGTCTGTTCCGTGCGCCGGGTCGAAGCCGGGCAGACGGTGTAACAAACACCCGAGCAATGTTGCTGACCCAGATTGGCCTGGACAGCGCAAGAAAGGAGAATTCTCGGGTGGAAGAAACCCGAGCCGAACATTTATATAAAGCCCGTTCCCCGCGGATTGTCAGCGGAGCGCGGCGCGGAGGCCTCGGTTTCCGATGGGTGAATAGGTCGCATTTCACTGGCGGAGCTCATGGCTAGTGCCGTCAGGTGTCGGCGGTAGAGTTGATACGTGCCTGCCCGAGGTATAAGCGAGAGGGAAGCCATACAATGGAGGACTTGTGCTGGCTGTAGGGTAAAACTATGAAATTCTCGTGGAAGTTTCCTCGAATTAGACTCGTGCTTGTCAAGAGTAGCAGAGCTGAGTCTTCAGAAACAAAAGAAGTCATTGTAGCAGAAGTAACGAACATAAAGTTAATTGTTGTATTTCAGGAAATAAGACAGATAAGACAGTGCTTCCTTCCAATTTGAATAAATCGGGCACTGACGGTAAAATGCATCAAATTGAGCCAATCAGAGAACATGTTTCACGCCGCATTGAAATTCTCACAGACAAGGGGGTGTTTTAAAGAGACGTGATGTCTGTTTTGAAATAAGAGCAACTGGGAACAGGGAACTGATCTCGCCATTTTTGTTGTATGAAACCTTTCTGCTGAAGTAAATCTAGCATTGGAACTGTGGCGACCATTGGGGTTTATGTGAACATGCGTAATTATTAACGAAATGCATTTCGATCTCACGAGCCTCGGAGTTTGAGTTACTGTTCCCACTTATCATGTAGGCCTCATGATTTTTGTTGTTCCGGGATGAAGTGTACTCTGCGAGATCATGAACGTTTGCAACATGCACCGGTATATACCTCTGCCATGAGCAGAAGTACCCCCTCATTGGTTGAAAAGAGACATGTTGGTGGGGAGAGTTCATTTTTTGTCGGTGGCGACGCGACCGTAATAACTCGTGCAGTTCATAGTCGTCTGCATCTATGAACCAGCGGAGTGCATTTCCCGTCAAAGAAGCCTCAGTTGATAGGAATATTGCGCCCTCTCTTGGTGCCTCTTGGGGCTCATAATTTTCTTTAAAATTAATGTATGAATCTAATTCAACATCCCATTGGAGTGAAATGCATTGAAAAAATGTGGTTGTATTCGAGTCGAATGTAGTAGATACGAGGCGAATTAGAATACAACAAAATTGATCATTGCCATGGTAGTGATTACAAGGTTCAGTGGATAGGCGGTTTGTGTACAGGGATGGGCATGCAAAGCTAGTATGGAAATTCGGCACTTCACGCTTGCTACCAGCAACGACAACGCTTCAATTTGTTATTTCATTATTTATTTAGTTTAATGTCACTGTCGTATATAAGTATAGCTAGCTTGAGAGCGCTGGAGTGCATGGGTCAGCTTGCATACATTTTCACTTTTTCCCAAACAATGAAAAAACAGGTTTTTTGTGGTTTTTCGTATCTGGCGACCACCAGAAGCAAAAGAGCTTTTTCATCAATTGTAATTCTGATTCCTAAGATGTATGAATATTGTTTTGAGTATACGAACGTTTGCACTAAGATTAATGTACGCCACTGAAATCGGTATTAATGGAATGGCGATTATCAGCAACACCTGATAAAATGTTGTAATGTTAAATCATGAGCGAAAGTAACGACGGCTTATTGTTTGTAACATGCACTTATCGATATACACTACTCAAAAAAAGTGAAGGACCAAATACTTCAAGCATTTTAAAATTTTCTTCATTCCAATGAGAATACCATCAGTCCGAGACAAACAAAAAACGAAAGAACTATAGACTAATCCGATAAGACGCCTTAACTGCGGTGGCACCGAGCTCACACGCACATGCTTCAGCTTGACGCGCGCGTGCGTTTGACAAACCACGACACCTCATTGGTCGAAGAGGCATGTAACGTGCGCGTACCACCTTTCCACGAGCATTGTGCCAGTGCAGTAATGGCTTCTAATTCTGGTAGTCGAATTACACTATAGACCCCACTCATTGCTTGGAAAAAAAAGTTACAAGTTGAGAAAAAAGTGGTCCTTAATTTTTTTGAGTAGTGTAATTAAGGCTGCTGCTCGCACAAACCAAATAGATGAGCAGGGTGTGTTATTTTGGTAGGTGATGGAAGTAATACGGGCGTTTCACAATAGCGCGCCATCAAGAGTTTGCAACGCGTTGGCCAATCACAGTGCGCGAGATCTGTCGACCCAATGCGCGCTTGGAAAGGGTCGACAGATTTCGCGCACTGTGATTGGTCAACGCGTGGCAAACTCTTGGAGGCGAACAATTGTGAATCGCCCGTATTGATAATGCATTTTTTTAAACATTAGAAATCAGCGTCCATGCTTTATGGACAACCGAGGGCGCTGTTGCTGTGATGCCATCTAGGGAAGATATGAAATATTTCATTGCATGGATCTTCCTGCTCAGAACGTGAGCCCAGAATTTACTCACTGAAAAACTTGTCTTAGAAAGTGTTCCAAGCTTGCTCACAGTTATATACTTACACAACAATGAATCACTAAGGAGTAGTATTAGGCCTGCAAAATCTATGATTTAAAAAAAATAGGTTCCTTCTTCCCAGAACAGCATCACAGTTCTGCTCACGAACATGGAAATACTCAGTAACCAAATAGCCAAACAAGGGAAAGCAATACCCTTTAAAACAATGAGACAAAAATGCACTGAAAATGAGGTCAACTGGGGCACAAACGTGCATTTTAGATTGATAAATCGTGTAATGTTTCCTTTAAGAAGAGAAAGAGGAACGCAGGGAATTGGAGGCGTAACCCTGCGTCGACTCGAATTAGGCCGACTCGGAATGCGGTCATTTTTTGACTCGAGCCTTGACTTGGAAATATAAGGGCATATGATTTGACTTCAGAGAAATGTGACTGGGGACTTAACAATACTTGAACTAATTTGACTTCTATAACTTGCATGACTTTTGTAATTTGATTTGTACTACTACTAGGTTTTTTTTTCAAATGAATACGAGAAAAATTGTGCCTTCGACTTTCTGTTTACAAAACTTCAAACTTGTCCTTTCTAGTCACGTCTGAAATATGATATTATAATGGGAACAAATTGATGGACATGTCAAATCTTTTTTGCCATAAATATCATTGGTTAAATAAAGTCAATTAAGTATGTCAAAAAGTACAATTTCCATGTCAACTATGACGTCAGATTTGTCGAGAAAAAAGACGAAGACTCGACTTGAGAAAGTTGACTTGAGACTTGACTCGACGCAGGCAAAATAAATTGCGACTGAGCTTGACTTGTAGGGGAAAAACATCTTGCGACTTGACTCCCGGAAAAACAGTGACTTCGTTAATTATGACCCTGCGACCATAGAGCTATAGGACCTTACTTTATGCTCGGACCTCCGTGCTTCAACAGAAGAATGGAGCCCTACGTGGTATTGTAGACCAGGGCACTTTTCTTCACATGGAAAGGTCACACAGATTGTGACTGATTACTGGATAGTCCAATTGAAACACCAGGGATCTCCACAAAAGCCACACAGTTTCTAGCATGTAAACAATGTACCATGATGATGTGTACTGTATTATGATTCCAACTCATGAGATCCCATAGGCTCTCCACTACTGAGCTTCGTTTTCTGTAGCGGCCAACAGCAAGCACCGCATGCACTGCCACTGACCGGCCCTGATCCAACCTCATCAGTTCTCACCGCGGGAGGGACTCCAGAAACCAAACTCATTAGCATAATGAAACGCCAAATGTTTACCATAGTTGTTTGAATGACAGGTGCCAAGTGTTTCGGAAAAGTGCGCAAGTCAGGGTAACTAGGGGGTTACAAGGGTCAGGCCAGACTTCCCCAGCCCCCTCCACCCCAGGGGACCAATTAGCAAGATAGGGCCGGCTATTAAAGAAGGTCAGTCATTAGCTACCGAAATTACATGAAGGAGTTAGGGTGTCAATCTCTTTCTTTATACGAGACCACAGGGGTCTTTATGAGGGGATTGTCCCTGATTGCTGACGAAGTTTCAGCGATATCATATTCCAACCAGTGTCAACGTCAACAGCTTGAAATCACTCTGGTTGAGCTTTGGCCGTAGCTCTACTGAAGGGTGCTGTCATTTGACAAGAAGTATAATCATGGTGCACACACTAGGTCGTTGGTTTCAATCAAGAGTCGCGTGCAGTGCACAGCCGTATACCTATCTGGCAAGGCAGTCTAGTTCAGCAACAGTGATGCATTTTAGGGGGTGCACTGGTGTTTTGTCATGCATATTACCGATGGACGCAAGTTGTTTGACGTCGTCAACTCTTTTTTTGGGGGGGGGTCGGAATGATAAATCGGTTCAGCCATAGCCGAAGGACATAGGTTTCCCAAAAGAATGTGCAAAGTTTCAATCTCTCGCGATCGGAGGAACCGAACGACGACCCTTCCGACTCCACTTCTCCCTCGCGCATTCCCGCCGATTAAAATCTTCCTGCGCGGGAGATCGAGAGCCCGGGAGAGAAAAAAACAAAACAGAAGCAGCCTTTTCGTGAATATATGGCTGGCAGGTCGCAGGTCGGAGTCGGGGCTGGCGCAGAAGGAATACCGGGGCACTGGGGGACGGGAGCTTCAGGGGGAGACCCGCGGACACCACCCTGGGGTAGAGCGGTCGCAACTATTAGTTCAAGTGATGGTTTATTTATTGGTCTACAGCTCGAGTGCCGCCGAGAATGCTAGGAGCGGGTGATTCGTCATTCCATTTTTTATGATGTTGGGGTTCGCGGCACAGCTGGTGGAGGCATCCAGTTAATAGTTACGTAAACAAATACGGGCGATTCAACGCGTTGGCCAATCACTATGCACGATATCTGTCGACCCTTTCGCGCATTATGATTGGCCAGTGCGTTGCAAGCTCTTGAAGGCGCACTATTGTGAAATATTATTATTCATAATACAATTTTTTTGAAAACCGTGAATGCAATGACTGATTTACTAGAATAAGAAACACCAAATTGGAGGCCAGTTCATACGTGGCACAAAATAAACGCGATTCTGTGACGTAAGATTTAGGATGAGGGGATTATGAGCGAGCTATGAGAGAACTGGAAAGACCACACACGGTACGTACACTACTCCCTCTGGGGATAGGTCTGGGGTTCCCCGCCTCCCCCCCTCCCAAAAAAAGTCGAAAATGAGTTTGCTTTCTCCAGCATCTGCTTCTCATTTGTCACACTCACATGTCACTCTCACAAGTCCGCACCTAAAGGCGTGTTGGGTGGGTAGTTTAACGCCCTCACAGGAACCTTGAAGTTGTTAGTTCGATCCAAAATAAACACCTTCTATCCAGGGAAATATTGGGAACGCACCTGACCAAAGAATCTCATAAGTGCACACAGAACATGTTCATTCGTAATTAAAGCAAACGAATGTCAACGTTGTTGCGAACCAATCACCTCTTGAGCAAATTTATTTGTCTTGATCTTTTTACGTTACTCCATCAGCCATGCATAGATTCACTAAAACACCATGATTAGCAATAAACCAAACGCAACTGAACCACATTTATCAATAACTTCATAAATACACGTATTACGGATAATATTCCTCGTTAGAGCATCGCATGATCCTACCGTTATATAAAAAATCCTTACGGGTATTATTTTAAAGTTACATTTACGTCCAAAGGCGAAATATTTATATCAAGTTATACTGTCACTGCTGATGTAATTAAAATATGCTAATAAAGGGTGTACTCTTTGGCTATTTGGATTTGGGTCCCGGGAAAATTTTGCATCAATTAATTAAAAAAGCTACGACTTAAGAGGTTTGAAATATTACAGAAAAAAAGGCATTTAATGCTGAACAGCGTGCTTGACAATATCACGACGGCAAACTTCACATGAATATATTTGTGGCATGGCTTTGCTCAGTTTTGTAACAGTTTACACTGAATAGCAATATTTACTGATTGGCAGCTCCACTTGTTTGGAGATAAACAGTTCCAGAAGCAGGCCGGACAACTAATCGGTCGTGATTCTTAAATGGGTCCTGATTACTGAATGGGTTTTCAAAACAGAATATTATGCTATACCCATGCTGTGATTCTCAACTATCCATGATTCTAAACTGGGCCATGGCTGGATTTACTTCATTACCTGTAACACCAAGGCACTCAAAAATCATAAGCAACGAATGTACAGGGGAAATGTCAGAGCCACTAATTAGCCAAGGTGGTATTATTTCCTAAATAGTCGTCAAAATATACATGTACTTGTACAAGTTTCCAAACATAATCAGCCAGTTCAGCGAATCAGCAAATAGCCCACTGATAGGGAAGACCTATCTTTTCCCGAATGACCTAACACGCACTTCGTTTTGGGAATACGCTGTTGGATTGGAATACCTAACTAGCCGAATATGTTACATGCTTATATGGCTTTTCAATCCAGTTTGATTCAGTACTACATAAAACGCAGGTTTAAATAATTTACATGTATCACTAAATTGAAAACAGAACTGGATTGATATCATTAATATCAAAACCAAACAAAAAGATCAAAGGGATTTTTCGAGTCGAACCCCTGAGAGACATAGAGAGCAAATTTAAGTTATCTTTTGAAAATAGTCCTGCACGATACCGTTATTATGTAACAGCTAGAATCCGTGAAAGGAAAACTTCCCCATACGCAATTAACCAATAAGAAACCAGACAAGGAGTAAGGCATGTTGCAGAGTTGTAATGACTCAGGGCAATGACTAGACTCCGACTCAAGTCACAATTTTTGGTGACTGGACTCAGTCCCGATGGGTAAATGACTCGACTCGAGCCTCTGCGACCAAGATGACTCGAGTACAAAGTTATAAAACTCGAGTCCCAGAAAATATTAAAAGCGAAATTTTAGTTGGCTAGATACCTGTTACCCTAATGCATTTTCAGTATGGCTAAATTAAAATAAAAATACCCAAAACTATTTTACATGTATTTGTGTTTTATTGTATTTTGTTCAAAAACTTGTGACTAAAATTGACTTGAGCTCAGTACTTGACTCAATTCGACTACACAAAGTGACTAGACACGACTTCTTGACCTTATGACTCCAATTGAGTCACAATGTTAAAATGACTCGACTCGGGTCACCAAATCTAGGGACTCATTACAACACTGGCATGTTGCATGACTCTGAATGAATCACAACTTCGGTAATTTCAGCTAAAAATGGACACCCTCCTAAAAATGTTAATACTTGCATTCAGTTAGATAACTCTTGCAACAGCTGAATTTTCACAGAGATGAGCCAACGTTATGCATATACATGTACGTGAATCAATTTTTAAACTCTACTCATCTGAAGAAAAAAAGCAAAACGATTATGGTAACCAACTCATTTGGGGGTGAAGATTTACATTTATGATGCGGATTGCTTAAACAAACCGCCTAAAATAAATGGCTTGTTAAATATTCTTCAGGTCCAAGATGGGCTAATTGCTGACAAGATTCGGTATAATTGTTATCTAACTTAAAAAAGCTAAACCACTGAATGTCGCCGCTCCAGTGTAAACATGAGATATCACATGATTATTGTCACCATGGCAACTAGGATTGGGAAGCATGTCTAGTCTCTTGCAATGCACACAAAAGCATTTTCCACTACACTGGCTATACATGCATAATACATGCATTATAAGTGCGTTTAATGAAGCGCTTTATAAGAGTCTGTTGCCCTTAAAGAGGATGCTGGTATGGATACTTACTGTGCCCCTACAAGGGTACTAAACAAAATGGCTGCAGTCTCGGCACTTTCAAAGATTTAAAGCGCAACAGCATGGCAATGACCTTTTTCTAGCGGCAGAGATATTAGCCAATGCATTTCGGATCGGCATTGTCACGTGTGACAGAACGGCATCGTCACCTTGCCACGGTTAAGGTGTCGAGAGTAAATCTCTCCCCTGCTCAAAAACATGGCGTTCCATAGCGAACAATTTGTTTTACGTCAGCCTTCTCTGAATCCATATTTGCATTTCATCCAAAGACCTCTTCTTCATTCAATTCTACTTCACCCTCAACACCTTCTCAGCCTACCCAAAGCTACAGGTGGGAAAAACACATCAAAGATGCAGCACAAGAAGATAAAAAGATTACAAGAGTACATAGAAAGCGGTTTTAAAAGTTTATACAAGTTGTTTACAATGATTTAAAAAAGCGAACAGTACTTGATTGTATTTCAATTTAAAGTCCCAAGAGACTACAGTAAGCTGAAATACAGCGGGATGCCAACTGAGACAAGCATGGCCGCACTGTTAAACAAATAACGCTTGGCCACTTTGGCCCTTTGTCTTATTGGTTGCGTACTGTAGACGCAGACAACCATAAGAAAAAGTGAAACGGCACATTCCCTCTGAGACCCTTTGCGTTTGTTACAAAAGCCTCGTATCATAAGTGGCTCGGTGAATGATAAGTTTTTTTGTCAGTGGCTTTGACTTGACACCAGTGGTCATCCCATTGCTACGAGCCACAGCCACTAGCTCAAATGGCATGAATCCGGACAGGGCCGCAATATGCTATTGTGTACAATAAAACCTAGTTCTAAACACTAAATGTCACTACCATGACCGAGTTTCAGCGTCAACAACTAAACCAGTGCAGTTCACCATCACCATGGAACCCAAATGTCAGAATGATACGATGCTAAACCTACATGGTGTCTGACGCAGAACACTCTTTTGCATAGTTGTTTAAATCCAACCCCAGAATTCTTGTGAAATCACCCGGCTATTACAAGAAGCATCCCCTATACATGTGCATTACAAATTAGTACTTCTTTTGTCTTCAAACAGATGAGATAGATTCTTGGAAGAAACCAAAGCGGTGGCAGCAGCGTGATTAGGGTCATAGACTGTCAGTGTGTGGGGGGTGGGGGGGGGGAAGGGCACACAGGGGTGGACTCAGCTGCAAAAATTGGGTTGGGAGTGCAAGGACGACAGAAAAACAAAGGTAACTCACGCTCAGTACTATTAAATATTTAAAATGCTACATAGACTACTATCCTTTAGAGTATCAAAGTGACTACATCATGTGCACAATTGTGTGTAAAGAACCAGTGCGTGAACAAACGTGCGTGTACTCCACTCGTTTGCACAACACTTTCTGGCTCAAAATGATGTGATACTTTGGTACTCTATAGATTACGGCGGTGAAATTAAGAGGGCAACTTTTCTGCATGTGGAGATGTCAAATTGGCATTGCATCACACTGAGCGTGAAAGAAACAATGGGTGACAGGCTACAACCAATACTAAAATGAGACTTTTTTTTGGGGGGGGGAATAATTTTTAAATCACCATGAACTCTTTCAGTCACAATTTTCTCGTGGGATCCCAGTACTTGTCACAATCCTTAAAAACAAAGAAAAAAAAAGTACATGTATCCCTCCAGTCAACCTGGTGGATGCTGGTGAGGTCAATTCCACAATTACTTAAAAGGTCAACACTGTCCACATTGCACCTCAATTAGCTAACGACACATTACTGATACTAAAAGTGCACATGTATATAAAACATTGCATCAACGATACGTACATAAATTAAAATAAAGGCAAATATTCATCTATGAGAAAGAAATGTTAATGAGCATCCTACTTTTCAATTATTGCTTTGTACATTGTTTGCAATTAGAAAAAAAAATCGTACAAATTGTTAATAAAGGCATGTGGCTAGATACGGACACTTAAGGCATTTGATAAAAAATAGACGGAAAACACTAAAGCTGTAACTATGGCAACGGTGGTGCTTGAAACAAGCAAATCAGCTGTGGAGGCCAGACTGACGATTCTGAAGAGCTTCAACGCATTAAGTCTGCTAACCAACCAGGTGCGATCTCTGGCCTTTGAACTTTAACCCTTCCACCAGCAGGGTCAATTTACAGTCCCAGTCCTCAGTGAGGTAACACTTATTTCAATTACAAGTCCCTGGGAAGGAGCTTGAAATCTCAGTCTCTATCGCAACCTGGCGATGTTTTCTGATACTCTATTGTCCTTGGCAACAAAAAAAAAATTGATCTTCTGTCAAAATCAGTGATTCACTGCACAGTCCATTCGCTGGAACAGAAATCAATTCATCTGTGGCAGGGATGTGGTGTGCCGTTGCTAGGCTGTTGCTGGAGAGACAAAATAAACTCTTGGCTGATGTGGGGCTGTTACCACACAGGTCCAAACAGTGCCACCTGTTGACAACATACCGTAAGCGGACATTATGTCCCAAAAACGCACTGTCCACGTTAGCGCTCAAATGTAAGGACATTTAAAATTAACATCAGTCCTGTGCTGGAATTTGACTAATTTTTCAATTTCAATGTTTTTTCCAAAGATTTCTCACAGTTTTTACTCTGTAACTGGAACAAATAACGTGGAGTCTCTTCAGTTCAGCAATTTCAATGCAAGTTGTCAACATAACGGTCCTATCCAACATTACACTGGTGCTTCTTGGTGCATAACGGTAACACAATAATAACTGGTCCATGGCAGCTGATGCATTTCTATGGCAACAAAGAGCTGGTAAGGGAAGCTCCATCATATCCTTTGTGTTACAAAGGAAAACGAAAAAAGCGAACTTTATTGGACTGGAAGCATACTGAAGCGAGCGTAGATTGAAGAAAATCATAAACATTTGCCACTGCACAACGTTCCCAACTGTCATTGCTGTCATGTGACTGGTCGGGTGACTAAGTCGTCCTCCGATGCACGACTCAATCCAATAATGACGCCAACAGTTCAGAGGTCAATGAGTTGACCGGTCCCATCACCATCTACAGGGGTGCCCTCGTCTGTGTCATCATTTGGGTATTCGTTGACATCTTCCTCTGCGTCTTGCAGGGCTGCGGCTCTGGCTGCCTTGATCTCCCATGATGCCAAGTCCTGTCCTGGTGCAGTCTGGAAAAAGCCAAAATAATTTACATAAAGACTCATTTCCACACACTTGAATTTTTTTAAATTTAACTTTGTACCAGTTTTACTCTCTTAGCAGCACAATGGACATTTCTGCAGCACGTCCACAGTTTCACTAGTCAAATCACAAGACAGTCTCAACAGCTTGTGACTTGAAATGAGACTAGGTCGCTCACGACTGATTTGTCTGGACTTAGAGCTCTACTCCCATACAGTGCCCCACTCTATCCATCCACTTCAACAGACTATATTCACAAGGGAGCTATTTTTGATCATGTTCCCTGAACCTGCCTTACGTAATGTATTATGTCGATTGAGTGGTGCCAGGCTATTTTGAGTTCCCTGCCTCACTTTAATTTTTTTGTTAATTGTTGTTCAAACCATTTAGATATAATAAATTGCATATTTTAAATTGTTTATCGTCGAGAATGAAATTAATCTGTAAGGAACTTTTATTCTTTGCCTTTATTTTTCATCTTAGGTTTCTGAAGGTAATCTCACTTTCAATCCAATATGGTTGATTTTTGAATTAGGTCAATTTGGCAGAGTGTCAAAGGACTCCCATCAATGAGAATAGTCTGTTGATAGTGGCAAGCATGACATGAAGATGAAGTCAGCTAGGATTAGCACACTACGAAAAACTTAAGAGATCCTACGGTTTGAGATTTTTCACCTCAATTTAAGGCCTGGACTAAATGCAAGCTTTTTTTCTGTTGAAGCCTGAGGCCAGACACTGGCTGAATGGGAGGCACATACCGTACCTTTCCAGATCTACTCCCAAAAAATGAAGCTGATATTTCTGCATCTTGCAGAAACAACAAACTAGGAAACACTTAGTACCTCACTCTGCTCTGGGAAATCCTCAGCAGGTTCAGCTTCCTCCATCTCGGGAGATGCGACCTCTGCATCCAGGCCGTTCTCCTCGGTGTGCCCATTGAGGACCTGTTCATTCTCATCCTCCTCCTGTCTACTGTCTACTGCCTCCCCCTCCTCTCCATCTTGCTCCCCCGGCTCGGGGAGAGCCTCAACTGACTGCTCCTCCTCAGCTTCTACCACCTGCTCTGCCTCTGCTACTTCCTGCATTTTTTCACTGGCAGGTGCCTCTGCCTCTTCCTGGTTGCCCTCATAGTAGGAGGAGAGCCTCTTGGGAGACAGCTCCTCTTTCTGCACCCGGTTCTCGGCATGGGTGACTTCTCCTGCTTCCCACTGGGCGCGAAGCGAGCTAGCTCCAGCGGCAAGCTCCTCTGGAGTCTCGGACGACTCGCGGACGAGATCCTCTCTCACAGCCGGAGTGCTCTCAGCCACCTGACCTTGGCCCTGCAGCTCTGCCTTGATATCAATGACCTCTTTTGGCTTTGCTGGAGCAGTCTCCACCTCTCCCTTTTCCCAGCGGTCCTTCAGGGAGCGGGACACTCCTCTCTGGATGTTCATCGGCTCGTCTCGGACAGACGTCTCCCGAGCGAGGTCAGCGCGGACTTCGGGCGTGTTCTCTACCACTCCTTCCGTGGACGGTGCCAGCTCATCTAGGGATTTTGGGGAGCGCTCAAGGGGTGCTCTGGGCTTCTCTTCTATGTTGTGCACCTCTCCTTTCTCAAACAAGCTCCGCAGGTTGCGAGCAGCGCCTCTCTTGATGCCTGGATCTTCTTCTCCTTTGCCTTCTCTGACGACATCAGCTCGCTGAACAGGTGTGTTCTCAGACACTCCTCCTTGGTCAATGGAATCCTGGTTCGCCCCATAATCTTCCAGAGATCTGGGTGAGATTTCAATCTTCTCCTTGGGTTTGTCTTCAATATTGGAAACTTTTCCTTGCTCAAATCTTTCCTTCAAGGAACGTGCTCCGCCGATCTTGAAATGGGCATCTTCTACTTTCTGGGAGGAGCGCACGACATCATCCCGAAGGACAGGAGTGCTCTCAGAAATTCCGCTGTCAATAACCTCTGGATTGTAGTCCTCCAGTGGACGAACCTCGATTGCTGGCTTGACGGGTGTCATTTCAATGTTGCTGACGCCACCCTTTTCAAACCGATCCTTGAGGGACCGAATACCGCCTGAGGTGGTCTTCACTTCATCAGACTTGATATCTGAGCGGACCACATCCTCGCTTCGGATGGGAGTGCTCTCGGCAACTTGCCCAATGCTGGCCTGGACCTCCGCTTCCTTGGCGGCTCGGATCTCCTCCTGAAAGTCAAACGTTTTGCCAGAGCTGGACAGGCTGCTGTCCCCTCTTTCAAACTGGTCCCGCAGAGACCTCATGCCGGCAATCGCAACGCGATCGTCCACGACGTCACTTGAGCGGACCACATCTGGTCTCAGTACTGGTTCATTTTCAACCACTTGCTTGTCTTCTAGAGGATGAAGAAAAATTGGATCTCATTTACAGCGGATCAGATGCCATCACATCAACAACTTTAGGGCCTTTGGAACATAGGACAAGAAACCAGAAATTTGTTGGGCTTTGCACTTCTGTTTTTGAAGGAATACACCACTGCTTTATTAAATGATTTTTGGGTAGCGTTAACCAAGAGAACTGTCTAGTGAGAGTAAGTGTTGTTGATGTTCAGGTTTTATTTTGCAACTGTGGTTGATTTTGTTCAGAATTATCTCAGAGAGTGACCGTGTAGGTAGTGCCATTCTCTTAAACTTTTGACCAAGCACAACCCCTAGGTGCTAGGGCTAGTTCAGGTGATTGCAACAAGAGAGATGGGTTCACGGGTACACCATGGAATCAATCTCTTTTGGACGAGGTGTGGTTCTTAAAAGAACCCGTGAATATAAACTCGATGTTTCTGTCAGTGTGCCCTGGCTGTCCTCAGCAACAACAAAGTGAATTTCATGTTGACAACAAATGATTTGGCATGAAATTCAACCAAGCTGAAAGGTTTTTAACCTTTTGCAAATGCACGGCCCAAATGTTTGAACTGATGTCATAAATATGGCATTCGTGTGCTTTCTCACCAGGTATGAACAAGCTCTTACCGAAGTCTGATTCAGAGAGGGCTTACACCCATTTCAGACAGGTGTTCTAGGCACATGCCGAGCCAAATAGAATTAAGAGCAACTTGGGTCAACCCAATTAAATTTCAGTTTCAGACAGATGAACATAATACATACTTTGCAATGGGTTCAGCCCATGAAAACAAAGCATCTGAAACCAAGTCGCTCTGGTGTTGTTGCGAGTGCCTTCAAGTGTTGATCTTTTGCCTGCTAGCACGCCCAGTCGCTTCTGATTGTTTTAGACGTCAAACTTTTGCTGTACTTAACTCAAACTTTGTTTTTAATTTGGTTTGGCGCAACTCCAGAACGCCTGTCTGAATTGGGTGCTACGTCACTCACAAAATGGCTTTGGCTGTGTCTGATTTCAATGGCTGCAGCTCGGAATAGCACAAGTATCTATGGGGAGTGGCAGCAACCGCTAGTGAGTGATTTTCACATGAGCGTACATTATGTGTAGCCACAACCATATACTCAGACACAACCATACTGTACCTTCCCAGTGAACCTCGTGTGTGACAGCCATCTTGAAGGGTTTCTTTTAAAATCCTCAGTTTTGACTCTGTGCTCGGCTTTTGGATCCAACTATGCAGAGTCCATCTTAATGTGCACTGATTTTTGCGAATATGTGAGAACTGCAAACTGCATGAAATGAAGTCAGTGATGGGCTTTTTCCCCCATTTGTTTGACGATTTAAGGCCTAACAATGGCCTTGAGGTCAGGGTCAAAGTCATAGATGATAGCTGAGCTTTGGAAAAGAATGTGTTTGCTCAGAAATGACAGACAAAATGCTGATTTAACGCCTAAGCCCACCAACCAATGCACTGACCCCCAAGATGGCTATTGAGCATGAGGTCAGTGTGAAAGCCCTCCATATTACCTGGTGTGGACTGATCCAGGTCCTCCCTAGTCCTGGTGATGCTCTCCCTGTCAAAGGTCTTCTTGACTGTCACATTGCTGACCTCCCCCTTCTCGAACTGGTCCTTAAGGGACTTGGTCCCATCAAACTGTGGCACTTCCTCCTCACTGAAGAAGATAAAGGCCATGAATGATTCACACAGCAACTCTTTAGAGGATTTGCATGGTAGCCATCTTGCAGGACAGTTCTTTTGTTCCACAGGGAAACCTGCTTTGTGCATGCATACCCTGTGGAACCCAAGCACTGGCCTACAAGATGGTAGCCATGCAAAACCCATTTGATGCTCAGCACATGAATAGTATATTAAACTTGCTTAGACCCCTTGCAGTTGGTACTAGGTAGTGGTTCCTTTAACATGGCAAGGGACCAGTGACAAAATGTGAAGTGCAATATCCCCGTGGTGTCAACATTTGTAACCTGAAAGTTTATATTTATGCATTTTTGCCTCGGCGAGTCTGAGCAGCTCAACTATAAGTGCTTGATTTGAGGATGGTTGTGACCCACTCTTCTGAAACCGGGCTGAAGTGGGTCGGCTACTTTCCTCTGGTTCATTCCCCCCCCCCCACTGTTATTTCAAAAGAAAAAATTGCCCAGAGAAACCTTTTGGTGGTTATGAGGAATGAAAGTCATGGAATCTGCACCGCCCATGCAGATAGTCATCCTTTGGCCTGCTTTGGGAATGCCGAGTCACAGTTTTTGGAAAAGAGAGACGATGTTATGTATGCACTACTCCCCCCAAATATTCCATCCTAAATTTGCTAGTATATAAGCAGGCTGTAATGCCAAGTGTTTGAGAGAGAAAACTGAGATAGTAAACCCACCTTGTCTGCTCAGTATCGGCCTCATCGAATCCATTTTCTGCAAAAATGAAAGGGATTAAAATGTGATTTAATATACTTTTCCCCAACTGTATCTACAAAATTTTTCATTCTACACATGAGGTTGTGCCAAAATGACTGCAAAGAGCCCTCGTGTCTGTGGCTACAGCTACTCACTGTAGTGTCAATGACAAAAAAGAAGCCGTAGCCGCAAGATCTAGACACAACCTTAGGCTGTTGTCTATGTCAGTGGAGGTGTGGTGTATACAGCCTCCTCCCTGACCTCTAAACCCAAAACAGAAACTTGAAATCACTGTGGATTGATCCTCCTCTGTTCAACTTTTCGTAGGGCAAGGCATGATTTGCAGGTTATGAAACCTATTACTATGCAACTGTTGCTCTTTCCACCTGTAATATCTCTCAACAGTTGAAGAACGATCCTTCCCGTTTGCAGTGGGCATTAAATGCCCGTTTGGCGTTCCATACATTTTCAAGTTCTCTCCTGTTAAGTTCACCAGTTGAATGAACTCCAACCTTCTCATTGTTCACCCCTGTCAGTTGTGACCAGACTTCTGAACTGACCCATGATTTGCCTGGTGGCTGAACTTGTGACGAACTCAATTGAAAACAGTTCAGATGTTGGTATTCTATTCAATAGTTCAATTCTTTCTACAGTCGCTGAACTTCAAAACTACTTTTATGGACAGCTAAAAAAAAACCATCTGCCCAACGCCAGGTTGAAAATCCATGGTCAGCGGCACTGCACATCAACTTCCTCGATTGTGGACCCGCAAATCGTATGGAATGGTCTTGTCAAATGCATTTCAAAAAGGCTTTTGAATTACCAACAGATTTACCAGCCATACTGGGAACTGTCTTACCAATGACAAATATAGGTTTCACTATCTTGTTTGCTCAAGGAACATCTGAGTGAGGGGAGGATGGGGTAAACATTGGGGCATCCCATTGGGGGAGGGTTGGTCAGAAACAAGAACCATGGAGTTAACTATGGATGGCCTTTCTGATCATTGGGGGACAGAACCTGCTTGTAAGGAAACTATACAGCTTATAGTTACAGGCAAGCCATTTTGTGAACATGAAGGGTGGACAGTTTTTGTCGATTTTTTTTTTTCACAAGAAGGCATCTCGAGCTATACATATTGGTAAAAAAATCCACCTGCATTTTGAATGGGTGTCCATGTATACATACTATCTTGTACAAGACTTTGGCCCATTTGGGGGCGGTCCAAGCTATGACCCACTCTCTGTTTTCCCTTGTATGTTGCTTTGTAATCTGGTGCCCGACCCTTTTGGGGGTGCAAATCTTGGGAAGTTTTCGCCAGGACATCTTTGCTCATCTTTATCAACGTTTTTGCTCTGAACTGTGCTGGATTATGGTAGAGTTCCCTCTGGTAAATAAAGAATTTATAGGGAAAAAAAACCAAGAGGGTAATTGGCCCAAGATAAAAGTGAAACCTAAATGTACTAGTAGGTAATGAGCAAAAAATCTGCCTTTGAGGTGACCAACAGCATCACAAGGGAAAAAAAACGATGAGTCATGCCCCAAATCCCCCCTCTTGATCTGCTACTGGTTCAAATTAGCCTTTTGTGGGTTTGAATTAAATCTGGTACATTGAGTTATCTGATTACACATAAACATAGCAATTTGAATTCCTCAGACTAAAGGCATCATTGCTATACCTTGTGCTTCAGGGCAAGCTTTTGCAAAGCGACCACCACCTCAAGAATGGACTGGTTCCTTTGTGCCCTTCTTATCCATTGACAACAGTGTATTGGTGCAAGGCGTCTCTTAATATGTAACTAAGCAAAAGCTTGCCCCGAATCACAAGGTACATGTATAGCAACAGTGTCTTTAGTATGGAGAATTTCAATTGTTAAGTTCATGTAAATTTCAAGAACTCGTGATCAGTGTACCAGATATTATTCAAATTTAACTCACACAAGTGTTATCAAGCCACCCTTCACCCCTCCCCCTTCCCATTACTCTACAGTCCTGAGCCTGCTTTTGGTAAATCTGGGGTTTTTGGTTTTCAGTGATCCTTGACCCGTCTCCTAAGCTACATTTCTGCACCAGGCTGTGATACAGTTTTGGTCCATTTGGGGATAGTTCTGGTTAAACTAACTTATCACCCCACCCCCAATTCACATTTCTGCATAATCCTGTGATGGATCTTTGCAGGTTTTGGGATCTTAAGATTCAGATGAAAACAGTCACAGTGAGGGAGACTTGGAATTATAAGAGATAGTCCTGCATTTGAGTCCCTCACAAATCCCTGCAAGTCCCTGTAAGTCCATCACTAGTCCATCACAGGTCATTCAGATTCTGTCTTAAGCCAATTCACAAGCTGTTCAAATGAGCTGTGACAAAAGCATTCTTCTGTCATTGCTCACCCTGTTACTTATGACTGGCCTTGTGGAGGGGCTTGTGACTGCACTTGTGAAAGGGCTTCTAATGGACTGGAATACAACACCGGTAAGAGACGGACAGACAGACAGACGGACAGACAGACAGTAAAAACTTAACAGAGTGTCACAACTTAATTGTGGCACTGATACGTGAATAGGACGAACTGACAATTACAGACAAACAGACAGACGCACAAAGACATACATGTACACCACATAATAGGACAAGCAATACTACAGACACTAGACAACTACTACTAATCATATGCAATCAAATGCAAACATTAATCAGAGATAAATACAGTTGAAATTGCAAATATCAAACATGTCCAAAACGGCCAGTAGACTCCAAGCTTTGCTCGGGAACCTCAGAGGGTGGGAAGAGGAGGTCTGTCACCCCCCGCAATGAGGAAGGTTTCAGACGAGTCTTGTGGAAACTTCTAACATTCTCGACATACCCATGTACACTGTAGGCAACATTGCACAAGTCACTCGTACTTGCTCACTGCAAACACAGTGAGAGATGTTTGTGCACACGTACTGTACATGTAAATGTAACGTGCCTTCTAGTAGTCTTTCGTGGATCGTGAGGTCACAGCACTGGTGGCGGAAATGGAGGGGGCGGGGGAAGAGTGCCCCCTCCCCCAATTTTTCAACTGGAGGGCCTGGCCCCTCCACTTTTTGCAGGCTGGTTTTGAACCTAGCCAGAGCCATACATCTTTTGACAAAGTCAATCATCTTGGCTATGGTATCCTTGAAATCAAGGTGCCTTTCCAAAGCATGTTGTGAGTGTGTTCTGTACTCCTATTCATTTTCTACTTGTCACACCAATACAATTTCGAAGGATGCTCTCTGTGAAATTATGCGTATGGTGCACTGAACACATCAACAGAAAGGAATCCTCAATCATCCTTGGAAGGGCAATGTGGATTGGCTTTTCATTTCTGCTTATGTTTATGGGCTGTCTTACACCACTCTTAGGGAGTTATTTGACTAAAAAAAACAACAGCGCTCCACGGCTAAATTGCATTATTATGTCTACATTTAAAGTTTTCGAAACAGGAGTCTGAAATGTGTAAGTGCATTGTAGTGATATGATCATCAGTGATGCTTGATCATGTGCTTTATATTATGTAACAGCCTTGCACCACAGTGTCTGAGTGATTGTGGAGACAGTTTCTACGGATGAAAGTCACGCTGTTGTAGTCGAGACTTCTGAAGACCATCGGAAGACCCAAACAGACCTCAACAAGACCAACAATAGAGTACTGGTCTGAATTTTAATGACAAGCTATTCACAAGTTGCTAACCAAATCAATGCTTTAGCATGGTCCACACTGTACTCGTGACACGGTCTTGTGGTGATCTTGTGAAGGTCTCGGGACTGGTCTTGAGATAGTCTCGACACTAGTAAAGTCGTCTCTTGAAACTCCTGCACTTGTGGAAGATCAATGAGCCAGGGAGAGCACTGGTGGCAGAAAACATGGTCGCAGGTGGGGGGGGGTGGGGATGGGTGTGAGAGTGG